TTTAACCTCGAGTGAATTTATTAAGACTTAAAGTTCTGGAGCTAGCTCCAAGATCTAGTGGACACGGCAGCAGGACCCTGCATGGCCCACTGTACAGTCTGAGTCCTGGACATGACAGCTTGAGAACATGCTGGGCACATGTGTGACATCCCAAAAGGAAGGAAAGATGGAGGAGAAAGGGACTGTAGTACGACCATTCCTCATAGGAGCTATTTTCTTCTCTCTCTCTGTCTCTGGTGAGCACAAACACACCCTCTCGCAAAACAACAACAACAAAACTCAAATTTTTAAATATGTCAGGAAAATTTACTACTCAAAAGAATGCCATTCATTAAATAAATATACCATGAATATGTGGGATCATACCCAGAAAGCAAGGATGGTTACATATTAGGAAATCGGTTATAATTAATCATATCAAAGACAAAATAAGAAAAATCATATTCTCTCCAAAAAGTCAAAAAAAATTAATGAAACTGAAAATCCGTATCTGATTAAAACTTCTTTAAATGATAATTACAAAAGTCAGCACTGTGTTGAATGGGAAAATACAGATGCATTCCCCAAAACATATTCACTATCACCAGTATTCTTCACCATGAGTAAGGAGATACTGGCTGATAAAATCAGAAAAGAAAGGTTTAAAAACTATCAATATAAATTAGAAAAGAGGGGAGTAGCAGGTCAGCATGGTGGTTAAAGGTGCTGGACTCCCACATTGTCGACAACAGTTCGAGTCCTGGACATGGTGGCTTGCTTTCTCACTTTCACTTTCTCTCCTCCCCTCCCACTCTGGTCCAATTATAAATAAATAAATAAAGGCTTGTAAAAATAATTCTTAAAAAAAAAAGAATTTCTAAAAAAATTTTTTTAATTAGAAAGGAAGAAATAAAATTAAAATATCATTATGAGTAATGAGCTGACTACTGTAGTAACTAGTGAGCATTGCTCCTGATCTTTTTTAAAAATTTACTTAATATTACTTTTTAATTTGCTATAGGGAATCATGCTCACAAGAGAAAGAGAGAAAGCATGCTGCCAGGTCTGAGACTGGAATCACGGTCAGCCATGTGGGAGTTCACCGCCTTAACCACCATGAAAACAAGACTTAATTATGCTTAAAATTTCTCACGATAAAGAAATCTTTTGAGGGACCAGCAGATGGCATAATGGTTACGTTGCTGCACTCCCATGAAGTCGACTGCTATTCGAGTCACAGACCCAGCAGCTTAAAACCCATGCCAGGTGTGTGCGCGTATATGCGTGCCCAAAATCTCAAGAAGAAAATGGAGAAGAAGGGATTACAGAATGGCCATCACCCCTGGGGAGTGATTTCTCATTTTCTGTCTCTCTGCCTCTGTCTGTCTTTCCAGCAAGCACACGTACCCTATAGCAAAAAGCTCTCAAAAAAAATAAAAATCTTTTGAGATGCCAGCAGGTTGCATGGTAGCTAAAGCACTGGATTCCCACATGGCAGACCACAGTTCAAGTCCCAGGCTGGAAGCTTGAGAATCACACCAGACTGATGTGCATACAAGCCCAAAATCCCAAGAGAACAATGAAGGAAAGGGATTGAGAAGTAGTCATTCCTCCCAGGGTGATTTCTCACTTTCTTATCTTTCTATGTCTGTCCCGAGAGCACAGGCACTCTATGACAAAAACCTAAAAATTTTAAAAATAAAAATCTTTTGAGTAGTCCATGCAGCAAAATAAAAAAGAACAATTAAGCAATGAAGGTTCTCAACAAGAAAATAAGGAAGCATTAGCTTACCAAGAAATAAAACATATTATAAAGCAGGGGTCAGCAGGTGGCATGGTTGTTAAAGGCGCTGGACTCCTACATGGCTGACCACAGTTCAGTTCAATTTCTGGACTTGGTTGGCTTACTTCCTCACTTTCTCTCTCTCTCTCTCTCTCTCTCTCTCACTTTCTCTTTCTCTCTCTCTGATCTAACTGGAAAATAATAATAAAAGTTTAAAAAATAAATCTGAATCCTCAGGAAACAGCAGTTAGCGTAATGGCTATGTCGCTGGACTCCCACGTAGTCGACCGCAGTTCGCGTCCCGGACCCGGTGGCTTAAAACTCACACCAGGAGCGTGTGCATGTGTGCCCAAGATCCCAAGAGGAGAATGGAGGAGAAGGCACTGCAGCATGTCCATCCCCCTGGGGGGTTATTTCTCGCTTTCTGTCTCTCTGTCTCTCTGTCTGTCTGGCGAGTGCACACGCCCTATAGCGAAAAAAATCTCTCAAAAATAAAATAAAATAAAATAAATCTGAATCCTTAAAAAAATATTATAAAGCTACAGTGACTAAAATATTGCGATACTGGTAGACAGATAATTCCATGGAACAAAACAGAAAGCCCAAAAATAAATGCAAACATATACACAGGAATTTATTTATGATAATGATAGAATTTTATAAACAAGAGAATTTTAAAAAGCACTTAGTAAATGGTAACGGGAAAGTTGGGTTGTTATCTGAAAAAAATATAAAATAAAACTGGGTTTGGGACTAGCAGATGGCATAGTGGTTACTTCACCAGACTCCCACATGGCTGACCACAGTTCAAGTCCTGGACCCAGCAGCCTGAAACTCATGCCAAGTGCATGTTGAAATCCTGAGAAGAGAATGGAGGAGAAGGGACTGCGGCTGGGGCCATTGCCCTGAGGGGGGATGGCTCACTTTCTGTCTCTCTGTCTCTCCATCTCTCCAGCGAAGGTATGCACCATATAGCAAAAATCTTTCTTAAAAATAAAAATAGATAATAAAACTGGATTTCTATACTTTATTTCTCAGAACAAAATATACTCCAAACGAATAAAGACTTCAATGGTAAAAATAAAATAAACATTAGAATAAAACAAATAGGATTTTTTTCATAATATCACAAAAGGGAAAGCCAAGACGTAAAATAAAACCTAGAAGCCATAAAAGAAATGTAATCATTTTGCTTGGGTGAAATACAACTGAATCTAAATTGTGTATACCTTCTGACATGGCCAGATAACCTAGGAATGCATCCTACACATGTGCAGATACCTCTTAATGTTCATATAAAGATAATTACTGCATCACTAGTTACTACAGAAAAAGATACAACCATTCCTTGGAACTAATTAGTTGATAAAAAGAAAGTACAGGAGCCAGCCAGGTAGCATGGTGTTTAAGGGAGCTGCATCCCACATGGCCAATTTCATAGTTCACATCTACATTCAACAGCTTGGGATACATGCTAGGCTCATGTGTATGTGTGCCCAAAATCTCAAAAGGAGAATGGAGGAGAAGGGAATGCAAGCGTATCCATCACCCCAGGAAGTGATTTCTCACTTACTTTCTGTCTGTCTGTCTGTCTCTCTCTCTCTCTCTCTCTTTCTCCAGTGAGTGCATATGTCCAAAAGCAAAACTAAAAATATAAAATAATAATTTTTTAGGCTTCAATTTAATTTTTTAAACAATTTTGCCAGAACATGTGTGCGTTCACTGAAAAAAAAAAAAAAAAAAAACAGAGAGAAAGTGGAAAAGTGAGAAGGCATCTCCCACGGAGAATGGTTATGCTGTAATCCTCCATTTTCCCCTCCTATAGGGATTTTGGGTAAGCTTGCACACACACCCAGCATGTTTTTCACGCCCCCAGGTCCAAGACTCAAACTGTAGGGTCAGCTATGTGCATCTAACCATCGCAACCGCCAGGCCACAGGCCCTCAATTGTTTTTTAAAAAGTACACATGCCCTATAGCAAAACCTAAAAAAGTCTCAAGGTAAATATGAAATAAGAACCTCAAAAAATACACTTTCCTTTAAAAACAACAAGAACAAATTGTATAATGATAAAGGATCAATCCATCAAGGAAACAAAATAATTATAAATAGATATGCACCTAAAAACGAAGCCTCGAAACACATTAAGAAAAGTGACAGGGCTGGCTCTACATTACAACAAGAAAGCAAGAGCTGCTCAAGCCAGATTCCACAAGGTGACTGCAGTTGGAATCCACAACAGGCTTGCGTGCAAGTGCCCGGGATCTGACGAGCTGGAGGACTGGACGAAGGCAATTGCGGTGTGAACAAACCCTGTGGAAAGTGTTTCTCTCTCCCTCACTTGCATATGCACATGCATACTCTATCATGCATACAGTTTTTAAAAAGAAACAATACTGAAAGGAAAGAGAGGTAATTCAATAATAATAGTTGGACTTTCTTTTCATAACTTGCCAGAGGCATGTGCGCTTGCCAGAGAGAGACAAAATGAGAGATAAAGTAAGAGAGAGAGAAAAAAAGACAGACAGAAAGCGAGAATACCCCCCTTCCAAGAGGTATGCCACAATCACTTCTCCATTTCTCCTTTCAAGGTTTGGGGCACATGCATGTACCCAGTATGTTTCCCAAGCCACTGGATCCAAGTCTTGAACCACATAGTCAACGACATGGGATCCAGTTGCCTTTGCCACCATGCTGCCAGGTGACCCAATAGTTGGGAGTCTTTAATACTCCAATTCCAATAATAGATGGAACAATCAAGCAGAAGATCAGCAAAGAAATAAAAGAACAATACAAACCATCTAGACCTAACAGCTATCTATAGACAATTCACTCAATTGCAGAATACTTATTCTTATCATGTGCACATGGAACACTCGGCAGGATCGTACGTTAGGTCATAAAACAAATCTCAATATATGTAAACAGCCTAGAATCAGACAAAAGTATGTTCTCTGACCACGAATGAAAATAGAAATCAGTAGAAATAAATTTAGGAAATTCACAGCCCAGAATAAATCTTTGTATAATACTGAATGAGACTGAGGTGGCTAAAGAGTTCAGATGGCAAGGTAGAAGCCAGAGTCTGATGGAGAGGAGCTAATGGCATGCCAAGACAAAGACCACTATCTGCCCACTATGTCAGATTGAATACAGCAAGTATCTCGGATAAACACACTTTTATGTCATTAGGATCACCATCTAATCAGCTAAAATAAATCCTTTTCTGAATCCACAGGTTCACAAGATGATCATGACACACTAGCAAAAGACATGCTGACATGCAGCGCCAGCTGCAACCCTACTGAGACCTGTGGAATTCAAGGGGTAAATGATTTCAAGTGACCTATATATCCCAGAAAAGCCTTGGGAATGCGAATACTGTACCACAGAGGCCATTTGCCTCTTCCTTCTCCCTCCTCCCCTACATTCTGAAGGAAAGCTGAATAGTTCTACAGGTTAAAAGAGGCCAAGAGAAAGTTGGAAAATGAATTGAATTAAAATGTTCAAATGTGAAAATAAAACTGAGTACTAACAGAGACCTAGATTTCTGACAGCTATAAACTTATTATATGATTTTTTTTAAGACATCATAAATTACTAGGGAAAGTCAAATGTTCCAATCCTGGAAGGACCTGTCAGCTATTTAAAGTAAAACAAAACAAAATAGATCCTTGCACCACTCACCAAGATAAAGACAGAAGCAATTTTAAGAATTTAAGTATAACACAGGCCCAGCCAGCTGTGCAGATCATAACATACTGAACTACAGTGCTATAAGGCACACGGACAGCTGCACCACTGGATCCCACCCTGACCTGAAAACACAGCAGGTGCACGTGTACCTAATATGACAAGCTAGAGGGTTGGGGAAGTGGGTTGGGGCATAAGACCCTGTCAAAGTTGCATGTCTCTCTCTCTCCCTTGAATGTGCATGTTCTCATGAATAAAATAAACTTCAGGAACCAGTAAGTGACATGGTGGTTAAGGTGCTGAACACTCCCACATGGCCAACCACCAAGTCTTGAACCACATAGTCAACGACATGGGATCCAGTTGCCTTTGCCACCATGCTGCCAGGTGACCCAATAGTTGGGAGTCTTTAATACTCCAATTCCAATAATAGATGGAACAATCAAGCAGAAGATCAGCAAAGAAATAAAAGAACAATACAAACCATCTAGACCTAACAGCTATCTATAGACAATTCACTCAATTGCAGAATACTTATTCTTATCATGTGCACATGGAACACTCGGCAGGATCGTACGTTAGGTCATAAAACAAATCTCAATATATGTAAACAGCCTAGAATCAGACAAAAGTATGTTCTCTGACCACGAATGAAAATAGAAATCAGTAGAAATAAATTTAGGAAATTCACAGCCCAGAATAAATCTTTGTATAATACTGAATGAGACTGAGGTGGCTAAAGAGTTCAGATGGCAAGGTAGAAGCCAGAGTCTGATGGAGAGGAGCTAATGGCATGCCAAGACAAAGACCACTATCTGCCCACTATGTCAGATTGAATACAGCAAGTATCTCGGATAAACACACTTTTATGTCATTAGGATCACCATCTAATCAGCTAAAATAAATCCTTTTCTGAATCCACAGGTTCACAAGATGATCATGACACACTAGCAAAAGACATGCTGACATGCAGCGCCAGCTGCAACCCTACTGAGACCTGTGGAATTCAAGGGGTAAATGATTTCAAGTGACCTATATATCCCAGAAAAGCCTTGGGAATGCGAATACTGTACCACAGAGGCCATTTGCCTCTTCCTTCTCCCTCCTCCCCTACATTCTGAAGGAAAGCTGAATAGTTCTACAGGTTAAAAGAGGCCAAGAGAAAGTTGGAAAATGAATTGAATTAAAATGTTCAAATGTGAAAATAAAACTGAGTACTAACAGAGACCTAGATTTCTGACAGCTATAAACTTATTATATGATTTTTTTTAAGACATCATAAATTACTAGGGAAAGTCAAATGTTCCAATCCTGGAAGGACCTGTCAGCTATTTAAAGTAAAACAAAACAAAATAGATCCTTGCACCACTCACCAAGATAAAGACAGAAGCAATTTTAAGAATTTAAGTATAACACAGGCCCAGCCAGCTGTGCAGATCATAACATACTGAACTACAGTGCTATAAGGCACACGGACAGCTGCACCACTGGATCCCACCCTGACCTGAAAACACAGCAGGTGCACGTGTACCTAATATGACAAGCTAGAGGGTTGGGGAAGTGGGTTGGGGCATAAGACCCTGTCAAAGTTGCATGTCTCTCTCTCTCCCTTGAATGTGCATGTTCTCATGAATAAAATAAACTTCAGGAACCAGTAAGTGACATGGTGGTTAAGGTGCTGAACACTCCCACATGGCCAACCACGGTTCGAGTCTCAGATCTGGTGGCTTTCTTTCCCACTTCCCCTCTCTCTCTCTTTTTCTGTATGTGTCTATCTCTCTGGTCAAAGTAAAACAAAAGAATGAATAAATAAAATTAAAGAAATAATTCTTAAAAAAAAAACTTCAAAAATGTGTGTGTGTGTGTGTGTGTTTACATATCTTACTTAAGAAGTGTAACACAACTACGGACAAATTAAAAATTAGTAGAAAATGCCTCTCTAAACTCAGAATGGAGAAAAACTTTCTAAACATTAAAAACAACACAAATAAATCACAAAAATTGATGACCCAACTATGATTATTTGATACTTATAAAAATATAAACACTGAATACAAATACTCACCTAAGTGAAAAACAACAGCTTATTACACTGAGATGAGAAAGGTAATAGAAAAAAGAAGGGTGTATACATGAGCTTTATCCTTATCTTCCCTGGCAAGAAATCAATATATAATGTCTAAAATGAAAATTTTTAAAAAAACAGCAGTATGGATAAAAACATTGTTTACAAGTACATAAGTCTATTTTATCCTCCAGAGAAAGAAGGAGTAACAGGGAGACCTTGCGATCCCAAAGACAGAAGGTAGAAGCCATTCCACCCCTCACCCACCCAGGACCAATGGAAAAACACAGAAATCTAACTTCCAGAAGAAATCAAACTAAATATGGTTGAAAGAGCTGAACGTTGTCACCTTTGGGGCAAAGGAATGAGGATGAGGAGGATGAGGAGATAACCATACACTGTTGTTATTGAGCAACTGACCATTAAACATAAAAAGTTCACATCCAGGGACCAGCAGTTAGTTAGCGTAATGGCTATGTCACTCAACTCCCATGTAGTCGACCGTGGTTTGAGTCCCGGACCCGGTGGCTTAAACTCACACCAGGCACGTCTGCGTGCGTGCCCAAGATTCCGAGAGGAGAATAGAGGAAAAGGGATTGTGGTGTAGCCATCCCCATGAAGGGTGATTTCTCACTTTCTGTCTCTCTGTCTCTGTCTTTCTAGCGAGCGCACACACCCTGTAGCGGAAACCTCTCCAAAAAAAAGAAAAGAAAGAAAAAAGTTCACATCCAGAGACCTCCCTGAGTACTTCAGGTTTGCATATGCGGTGATGGGGTTGGGGGGGGGGGTGGGTGCGGTGGCGTGAGCTGGGGGTGTGGTTTCTGCATAAAGACCCTGTTGAAGGTAAGCAGGCACTCTCTGCTTCTCTCTCTCTCTTGCTCATGAAAGAAATAAAGAAACTTTTTTTAAAAAGTGTTACATCATCGATAATAAAAAAAAACAGTAAAATAAATGAGTATGGATCCATTCTTTCCTCTACCACATTGGGAAGATAAAAAGTAACACTCCTGGACCCTGTAGTGGCGTGGAGGCTAAGGGTACTGGACTCCTGGACTCCCACATAGCTGACCATGATTCAAGTCCCAGATATGGCAGCTTACTTTCTCACTTTCTCTCTCTCTGTCCCTCTCTGGTCAAATTAAAATAAATAAATAAAGTTAAATAAAATAATTCACTTAAAAAAAAAAAAAAAAGTGGGGCCAGCAAGTAGAGTGGTGGTTAAAGGTGCTGGATTCCCACATGGCCGACTGTGGTTCAAGTCCCAGACCAGGAGGCTTGCTTTCTTGCTTTCCCTTTCTCTCTCTCTCTGTCTCTGTCCGATAAAGTTAAAATAATAATAATAAGTGGAATTAAACAAAATAAATAATAATAATAAAACAAAAAAGTAACATTCCCTCATGCCCTGCCCAAGTATAAATTGGTACAATCTCTGTTGGAACACTTCTTGACAATACAAGAGAACTTCAAAAAGTTAATGAAAAATGACATCAACATACAAGCTTATTTATTTTAAATAAATATGTACTTATCTCTATGCCAGTAAGCATGTGTGCAAGAGAAAGTGAGAGAAAGAAAGCATGCATGCATGTGTATCACGCCTCCCACTCCCACCATGGGGCCTGGTCATGCCACAAGTGCGGTCCTTTTTTCCTCCATTTCTCTGCCCCATCAGGATCCTGGGAATGTGTGCACATGTCTGGCACATTATTCAAGCCTCCAGAGAGGACATTTGAACTGTGGCTGGCAGTATGTGATCCAGCTAACTCTGCATATCACTTAACCAGTGTACTACTAGACCAGCTCACAAGTTTATTTTGGTGCATAAAATTGTGAGCTCTCTGCAGTATTTCCATAATTTGCATTTTCCATAAACTTTCTGAAGACACTGCATATATGTCAAAAGATTTAGAAAAATAAATCACAGTCATACCCCAATAATATCACCTCTCACAATGTATCCCACAAGAAATAGTTACCCACACATATACAAATTTTTAGTTATATTACTTTTTGAGAGAGAGAGATTTTGGCTATAGGACGTGTGCACTCGCTGGGGAGACAGAGAGACAGAAAGCTAGAAATCGCACCCTCCCCCAGGGGAAATGGCCACACTGCAATCCCTCTCCTCTGTTCTCCTCTCAGAATTTTGGGCACACATGCATATGTGCCTGAAATGAGTTTTAAGCCACCAGGTCCAAGACTCAAACCACGGTCAACTACGTGAGAGTCCAGCAATGTAACAATGACACCATCTGCTGGTCCACGCGCCCTACAGTGAAAATCTCTTCAAAAAACAAAAAAAAAAAAATAAAAAAAAAAAAAAAAAAAAAAACCTGCGGGAACAGCAGTTAGCGTAATGGCTATGTCACTGGACTCCCACATAGTCAACCGCAGTTCGAGTCCTGGACCCAGCGGCTTAAACTCACGCTGGACGCAAGTCCCAGATTCAGAGGCTTAAAACTCACACCAGGTGCATGCCTGTGCAATCCCAAAAGCCCAAGAAGAGAATGGAGAAGGGAATGCAGTGTGGCCATTCTCCCTGGAGGGTGATTTCTTGCTTTCTGTTTCCCTCTCTCTGGTGAAGAATATATGCACCCTATAGCAAAAATCTCTCTAAAAAAAAAAACTAGAAGAAAAATGTTGGGCATATGTGTATTCATGTCCAAAATTTCAACAGGGTAGAGAAATAGAGAAGGAATTGCAGTGTGACCATTCCCAAAAGGGGTTGCTTTCTCCCACACCTTCTCCATCTCCCTGTCTCTCTTCAGTGCCCTCTAGGAAATTTTCAAAAGAATGAAAGTCAGAAACATGTGCGTGAATACCCAAAATCCTGAACAGAGAATGGAAGAGAAGGGACTATGGTATGGCCATCCATAGCAGGAGGTGATTTCTCACTTTGTCCTTCTTCCCCCCTTCTCATGACTGCATGTGCTCTATAGCAAAAAAAGAAAAGAAAGAAAAGAATCATCTCTAAAGCCTCTTTCAGCAAGAATGAGGGCCCTGGTCAACTGACACCTCTAGACTGTCTCTTCAACTCCTAAGTAGGTGGTTTGCTCCTCAGAAAGTGATTCTCAGATGTGCTTGCTC